TCAGGTGTAATATTTTTCTTAAAATGACTACACTCTTTTTTTTTTTTAACTTTTCCCCCTTTATATTTGACGATCTTTACATAGTTGATTAGGGCAGAAAGGGTCAAGGGCTACAGGAAAATGGGTAAAACCATTGTTTCCGCATTATTGCTTTTTTTTTTTTTAATTTTCTGTATCTGAGGTAAAGGGAGAGATAAAGAGAGAAGCCTCCCACCCATCCCAGGTCCCCGATGTGGGGTATGCTCTGGTGATCCTGCTCAAGTGGTTTTGATAATTCAACAGTTATGAATTGCTCCCAATCTTGCCATTCCAAGCACGATGAAATCACTGCAGAATCCACTGGTTGACATAGTCCACCTTAGTCTTCGTTTGCCCAGATTTTCATAGCCAACATATGGCTGGGGTAGTTGATTGTTATCTCTTTTGTCCTCTGTTGTATCACCAGGTGTCCTCTGCAGGTTCCGAAGGACTGCCATATCCTCCATGTGTACCTAGGTATGCTGTCCACTGTTCTGTCTGAGCCTCTGAGGAGACTCAGCTTTGACATTTGTACTTGTAGACCATGGAACCTGCACTTCTCATGGTTGGGGTTCTGAGTCTGGCAGTCCAATTAGGGAGATCCCCAAAGGAACTTTGTCTGAGGTGATACCAGACCCAGATTCTTGCATGTACTTGCCAGTACAGGGCCCGGCACAGTCCATCGCCCCCAACAGCTGGTGGTTGCAATTGCTGGGTCAGTTCTGTTTCCAGCCGTCTTCCACTGGAACCAATGGGTGTTGCAGTCCAGCCCAGCACACACTCGGCCCTCACATAAACCAGTGGGAGTTGTACTTAGTAGAAGCGACCCGCAATAGCCCCCACCAGGCCCACCCCCTGCCCTGGTTCCTATGCTTGCCAGTTTGTACAGCAGACTAGTCCAGTCTGTCCCATATCCCATTCAGCTCTTCTACATGTCAATGGGTGTTGAAGCCTAGTTCAATCCAACCGGGCCCACTATCCAGCCCACGCACATGCTGATAGGTATCTTTCTGTCCAACCAGGTCTGCCCCAGTTTTCATGCTCTCCAGTGTCAATGATAACCCAAGAGGGAGGTGCCCACCATTTCCCTCCTGGGCCCACTCCCAGATCATGCACTTTCCGGGTGGTTCTACAGTTTTATTTGACAGAATTAGCCCCCAGTGCCATCATCTGCCATCTGATGCTGTGGCAAAGCCCAACCAACCCTCACCCATTCTGATTTATGCTTATACCAGTAGGAACAGTCAACCAAGTCTGGATCTATGAGGCCCACAGGTGATTACACTCTACACTATGTGCCTTTAGTCAAATATTTAATTTCTCTCATAATTCCTAGCATGCAGTTGGCCTGTATATTCAGCTTCTGACAGTCTTGCTGTTTCCCAAGCCCTTTCTTGGAAACAGTTTTCAGATCTTCCTAAGATCTTGAACCATGTTTGGAAGGACCGTGTGGGCCACACTGGCATACTATGATCTTTTTTAGTGCATTTCAACCTGCACTTCCAATGACCTGAACAAATTCCCCTCCTGGCAATTCAGCTCTTGAATTGCAATGTGTGAGCTGCATCATCACTGGACTAGGCAGAAGCCAGATCTGCAGACAACTGTTTGGCCCATCTTGCAAATGTTGCTGCTGCCAGCCCCAGATCAGTGAGAGAGGATGAAAGGGAAGACCTCTGTTTCCAGAACTCTGAGCCATGTGCTCCCTGACTGAGGCTTAATGACCGCACTGAGTTCTTTATGCCCATGTTGAGAGCAGGACAAGGCCGTGCTGTCAGTATATGTGCATGATGAATCTTGGTTTGAGTTCAGGAGAACCCATATCTCTGTTAGGACCCTCTGTTCCCCCCAAATCAACAGCTTGCTTCACTTGGTATTCCTATTTCACTGGCCTAAGGACCAAATCCAGCTTATTTTTCTGACAATATATTCAACAATAGTTAGAAAAGAAGTGCCAACCACAGCAGTTCTTTCCATTTACACTTTGTAATAGTTAATGAAGTCAAGCTTTCTGATGTGTGTCGTTTTAGAGGGCTTATCCACCAAAGTACAAAAGCCTCAGAGGAGGTGTGTTGTACACCTGAGTGTCTGCTTGCCAGAAATTATACCACCTATGTGACACTGGGAGGGGTTTCCAGGGACTGTGGCTTGTTTGATGAGGTGACCAACTTGTGTTGGGACAGACACACAAAGTGTCATCACGCAGAAATCCTGACTCCTCTCTTCCCATTTCCTGTTCTCTTCAGTCAACTCAGACAGACTGCCAGCTCATCAGAGCTCACATGTCCCCAGTGACTTAAAGCCATCCTCAACCCTTCCTCATCCTTCTTGTCCCATTCTGTATCTTTTTTTTTCAATTTTACCTCTAAAAGATGGCTCAACTCCATCCCCACCCCCATCAACAAAATCACTCCTTTCTGTGTAGCAGGAACTATTTCATTTTAGACTCTTTACACACTAAACTTGAGCTAACCCCACTCCACTCTCTAGCTAGGATTATGGAGAGCACACAGAGTTGGCCTTCCAAGGTCTAGACTCCTTTCTCTATTGTCAGCTGGAGGCGTGACTGAAGATAGCCATTTTCTAGGAGGACCTTTTTGCAGTGCTCCCCTGTATGATGTGTGGCTATTATCTCATGCCCCCTCCACCACCAATATCCATTCTGTTGCCATGGCTATGATCTCATATGCATAAACACATGCATACATGTAGACATACTCCAGCCATCTGATTGATTCGATCAGGGCTGAACCCATTAAGTCTTGTCTCCGGGAATGTTGACCCTGCAAACTGAAAGAGACCAGTTTCTGCTGACCGCTGAACCTCTGCCAGATGACCCATATGTGGCACCCAGGTGTTATCTACTGCCATGTGTTGGATCAGGTACATAAGAGAAAAAACTCAGTCTCAGGTACATTGGGAAAGCGGATTGGAACATGTAGAGAAACAGAGGTAGGTCTCTACCATGTATGTCCTGGATCCCAGTACATTCCTGAGTCCCACCCTTCTTGTGTTCTAGTGGTTGATTCCCTTTCAGGCTCCATACATTTGGAACTGAGTTTCTATTACTTGTAAGCAAGAGCTCTATCAAATCCAGTCCTTTCTCAATGTCGTTTCAGAGCTAATATCTCAATTGTCCATGATAATGGTTTCTCCTTCCCAATGCAGGGTTACCTCTATGCCACATGCCAATTTTATGTCAACTAGACAAAGATGCCCCTTCAGCTATTTTACTGCCACCTCTGGGGAGATTGTCGCAGAATACTAATGTTTTCTAAACAGAACATTATACTAGAAGAAGATTGAATCTACCACCTCCAGGATGTGAATTGTACCCCCTTAAAGACATGCATTGCATAACCAGTTGATACATACTGTGAAGTTACGCTTGAACAGGCAGATTGTGTGTTCGCCTTCAGGATTCAGGATTTATTCTGAACTCATCTGTGTCTTCAGACTAACAAGCAGAGAACACAGTGTCCACCACTGGCAGCTGTGCGTGACCACTCCCAGGGTTAGCATCATCATACATGTGTGCTAATTCTGCCCCTACGGCACAAGGCCCAAACCTACTCCCAATAAAATCCAGACAAGGAAGTAAAGCAAAATTCATTCAGAGAAAAAAAAAAAACGGAGAAGGCTACCGACAAATCTTCCAAACCATTAACTTTTAACAGGCGTGTACGTACTATAGGATCTTCTCCCAACTTTCCTGTAAGCGTAAATCTTTTCAAAATATAACTCTACTTAAATATATAAAATGTCAACTGTAGCCACCTTCATGGATGGATCATGAAGAATCCCACATAGCACAAACTAACAAAAATATTCCAGGGGCACGTGTTTGGTGTAGCAGTTAAGATGCTTCTTGGGATGTTTGCATGACAGACTGCCTGGGCTTGAGGCTTAACTTTGCTTAATGTGCACCCTGGGAGATGCACACACGTGGGGGACCCAGAAAGCTCCAGGCTCCTTGCTTCACTGTAGCCCAACACTGATTGCAATGGGTATTTGGGAAATGAAGAGCCCCTCCCAGGAGTGAGATCAGTGCCCAAAAAACTTGTTTCCCCTTCCACTGTGTGAAACACAGCAAGAATTTGACACCCTCTACGGATGTCAGAATAAGACACCAAATTTGATACACAATGAGCTTGAGCTTTTACACCTCCAGGACTATGAAAAATTAATTCCTGTTGTTAATAAGACAACGCATTGGGGTGGGCACTGGGGCACAATGGGTTATCTTGCCATTTGAAATGCCCAGAGCTCATATCAGAGTACCTGGGATCAACTCTTGCCTCTGCTTCAGAGCCAGCATGCAGTTAAGGCACACCCTGGGGAGCAACAGCTGATGGTTCAAGCACTTGGATCCCTACAACCCAGGCAGCTCCTGGCTTCAGCCTGGGCCAGCCCCAGTTGTTCTGGGTGTTTGGAGAGTGAACTAGCTAATGGAAGATCTCTTTCCCTGTGTCACTCTGCTTTTCAAGCAGATCAAAAGTTACATAAATAAACTTCTTTTAAAGCACACTCAGTTGATGATAGTTTGTTACAGCAGCCTAAACAGACCCAAATATCTGTGGGGCATCTGCATTTGACTACGAATTTGACGGCAACCTTAGAAACAAAATATAGCTGGACAATACTGAACATGGGCTGACTACACATTATTAGTATTGCGTCAATGTTAAGTTCCATGAATTTGACAGTTACATTGCGGTTGCTAGAGGATACCCTTGATCTTGGGGGACCCACCCTGATGTAGGCAGGTTGTAAAGGGTTACAGCAGCCAACACTTCCTCCCAAACAGTTCCATGAAATAACAGGATGTGAGATAAAGAAGAGCTCTGAACCAATGTTGACACCTACACCTAAGTGAGGGACAGGCGTGTACGTACTATAGGATCTTCTCCCAACTTTCCTGTAAGCGTAAATCTTTTCAAAATATAATGCTAAAAAAAAGAAAGCACAGCATTCCTCGTGAGAATCAAACTTTTGATTACTAATAATCAAACTGTCAAAAACCATTGATTGCAGGAGGCCGGCCAAGTGTGGTCAATACATCCCTATAGTTCCTGCTGAACTCAGAATTATCTTGGAAAGTCTGAAGCACCTATGGGTAGAGGTACAGAGTTAAGGTGTGTTTCATTGGGCCCAGCGTGGTAGCCTAGTAGCTAAAGTCCTTGCCTTGCATGCACTGGGATCCCATATCAATTCTAGTTCTAATCCTGGCAGCCCCACTTCCCATCTAGCTACCTGCTTGTGGCCTGGGAAAGCAGTCGAGGATAGCCAAAAGTCTTGGGACCTTGCACCTATGTGGGAGACCCAGAAGAGGCTCTGGGCTCCTGGCTTCAGATTGGTGCAGCTCTGGCCATTGCAGCCACTTGGAGAGTGAATCAGCAGACGGAAGATCTTCCTCTCTGTCTCTCCTCCTTTCTATATATCTGACTTTACAATAAAACTAAATATATATTTTTTAAAAAAAAAAATAAAAGGAAAAAAGAAAGGAAGGAAGGTACATTTCATAACAAGACCAAGAGTTCTCTCTCAACATATTTTGAGCTTGGGTGCACAACCTCTACCCAGGGCACCATCTCAAAACAGATGACACCTCCACACCCAGAGAGGCCTCCCATCTTCTCCTCAGCAATGCAAAGCCTTTAAAGTCCTGTCTTCCTGTACTTGTCCAGGCTTTCTGCTCTTTCTGGAAGATTCCTTAACTCACCAGAAGGAAACACACTGTGGACTAAGGACACCGCCGGCTGCCAGTTATCAAGCTCTTCAACTTCTGTTATCTCATTCTTCAGATTGTTGGCCTTCTCCTTCACACAAAAAGGCAAGCTGTGGGGAGAAGGCACTGAGTGTTAACCTGACCGAGGCTAAGTTTACAAGCACTGTCAGTGGATGAAGCTCTGCAGGCTCCAAAAGTAACAAGTCCCCCAGTTCGGGAGACCTGTTTCCAAATAAAAGACCCCATTCCCATTAGATCCCGATCCCCGTTATCCCGTACCCCCATGTCCCGTCAGCTGAGCATTTGCCCTGCCCAGACTGCTTTTCCGCCCTTCTCTGCCAGGAAGATGACCCTGCAGCGGACATAGCCTTGGCAGCTGCCTGCCTCTTGGTTTGAATTGGGCTTGGCTAAGGGAAGGCACCAGCAGAAGATTAAAAGGTGGAAAAGAGAGTCTGGAATGTTTCTTACCCTGCCTCCCATCCTATCTTCTGAGACACCTCACCCTGGTGGGGGCTCATTCTGCAACATCACAGCTGCTAGGGGGAGGGGCAGTCTGTCTTCCAGGGCTCCTGCTCTCAGGGTTCTATGAACCTTGCATGATCTAGTACTCTGGATCTCTCTCCCTCTCCAGCGGTTACTGTGATTTCCAAAAGAAATAAAGATGTGAATGATTTTAATGAGAGTAATGCACATGAACAAAATGGATTCAGCAAATAATTCAGGAAAAGGAAATCCTACAATTGTTATTCATAGGCAGCCAGGAATCTGGCTTCCAGCCTCAAGGAGCAGTATGGATGAGATTTACTGTCATGACTAAATCAGTCAGAAAGCTGATCAGAACATCTGGCACAACCATCTTCAGACAGAAGGCTACAGACAGCACAGGATGTTTCTGGAGAAAAGGCAGGCAGAGAGCCCTGTGGTCACCCAGCCTCAGCACATTCAAGGCCACACAGTGGGGATGGGCAGTCCCTGGCAGGACACAGTGTACTTTACAAATTTAAAGAGTAGAATCCAGAGTCCAGGTGGTCTTGGTGGGCTAAAGCTACAGGGTAGAGTTCTGGAGAAAGAACCACAGAGAAAACACGCTTCACAAATCAGCATAACACTCTTGCTGAGTCCTAACTGAATGCTGAGACACATTTATAGGATACAACTGTATCAGATATAGATATAAAACAATAGCAGGCAAAAGGGTGACTGGAAAGTAGAACTGGATGATTTCCAGGGCTTTCAAAGGGCTAAAAGCCATTTGAGTTCCCATAAATTAGAGAACTCCTTATTGGTCACTCAAGATACTTGGTGGAGACCTCGAAAGGGTCACACTTTTAGTAGCAGGATTAAACTTTTCTGGAGTAAAGGCTACTTTGAAAATGCCTCAACACAGCTTAAAAACAAACCTCAAAAAGTTCAAACCAAACTGCAAATAACTTGATCACTGCTACAACAAAACCTGACACTCATTTTTTAAAAGAGGACAATAAAATGTAGACCCTCAGTGGCATAAAATTATGATGTCCAGTATCCAAATAAAAATTTCTAGACATGTTCAAAAGCAGGAAAATGTGACCCACAATCAGGAGAAAATTCAGTCAATTGAAACAAACCCCAAAATGAGAGATCATCATATATTTAGCAAACAAAAAAATGTTAAAACAGTTATCATCACTGAGTTCAAGTATTTAAGGGAAACACTAAAACAGTGAAGAAAGAAGTAAAAGATTAGAAAAAATGGGGCCTGGCACAATAGCCTAGTGGCTAAATCCTCATCTTGCATGCTCCAGGATGCCATATGGGCACTGGTTCCTATCCTGCCTGCTTCACTTCCCATGCAGCTCCCTGCTGTTGCAGCCACTTGGGGAGTAAACCAACAGAAGGAAGATCTTTCTCTCTGTCTCCCCTTCTCTCTGTAAAACTCACTGATTAAAAAAAAAAAAGTTTCTAGTTTAAATCAAATGAAATTTCTAGAGCTTAAAAATGGGAGCACAAAAGTCATCAGATGAGATGAACAAATTAGACGCTGCAGAACAAAACAATGACTCTAGAACAGTTAAGTGGTAAATGCAGCAACAGAAACGGAAACCAGAACCTGTGTGTCTCCTGGAGTATTTGAGTAGACAAGATCTGATCAGGGTGACTTCCCTAAGGGAAGGTCTTGAGTTTCTACCAGTGGCTCAGAACAGAACATGCTGGTCTGTAAGGGAGAAAGGAAAGAACGGAGGGAGGGAAGGAGGAAGGAACAGCCAGTAATTGCTTCGGTAAATAAGTTCAGAACACAGCTGAGCAAAAGTATGAAGTCAGATGGCCCAGGGTGGTAGCCTAGCAACTAAAGTCCTCGCCTTCCAGCACCAGGATCCCATATGGGCACCAGTTCATGTTCTGAGCTTCCCTTCCAGATCCCTGTCTGTGGCCAGGGAAAGCAGTCAAAGACGGCCCAAAATCTTGGGACCCTGCACCCTCACGGGAGATCCAGAAAAAGCTCCTGGCTCCTGGTTTCAGATCCGCTCAGCTCCAGCTGTTTCAGTCATTTGGGGAGTGAATCATCAGATGAAAGATCTTCCTCTCTGTCTCTCCTCTCCTCTGTATATCTGACTTTCCAACAAAAAATTTAAAAATAAATCTTAAAAAAATTTTTAAAAATTTAAATATGAAGTTAGAAGAAAGATGCCCTCCCTCAGTAACAGCCATGTTCTGCTGGCCTTCTGCCGCTCCAAACTACTATTCATGGATACAATTATATAAGTATGTGTCCATTTCAGGGCCAGAGCTACTCTCCCATAGGCTGTTTCACTCCCCAGGTGTCTACTTGCTGCCACATGGGTGGCAGAAGGACAATATTTGAATCATTTGCATCATCACTGCTGCCTCCCAAGATGTGCATTGGCAGGAAGCTGGAGTCCAGGCCAAGAGCCAGGAATCCATATATCTGCATGTGGGAGGCGTACAACCAAACAATAGTCTACATGCTCACTTCTAACCATGTGCCTTACTTTTCCAACAAACTCTTAGCTTCTCTTTCTGCCCCATGTAAACTCTCTTTTCATGTACAACCTAGCCTAGCACAGGGCAGTTGATAGTTCCCAGTCTCATCTGTTCCATTCCAAATGCCGGAATCCACAGTCACGTGACCTCCACAGGTCTCCCAAATGCCCCCCTGCAGGAATTCAAAGGAACCCTAAGTGTTGGTTGTCTGTCCATAGGCTTCAGGACAAGAGAAAATATTAAATACTTGATAAAACATACTGAGAGGACTCACTTGGGAAATTGTGGAAGAGGCTCAAGTGGAATAAAGGTATCGAATTTCTTTACATAAGGGACTCTGAAAAACAGAAAAGGCAATCATGAAATTGGTGTGGCTTCTACAGTATGAAGATCAATATCTTATTTGAGCAATAAAGTGTCCTGTTTTCTGGTTTTGATTTCCAAGCACAGACTTCAAAATTCGAATAGCCAATATTCTTATTACTTTCATCATTTTTAATCAAATCATTAAATGTCATTTGGCTACTTCCTTAAAAGCATATATTTTTTTTTTTTTTTTTTAGTTTATCAACCCCTTCCTTAGAGGAGATGATGTTTTATTTAATTAAGGGGTAATTTGCTATAGATAATGTCTGAATCTTGGGGTTTGGAAGAAAATACCATTACTAAGTTTTTCTTTCCAAGGAGAAATATGTTATTCAATTAAGACTGAACACCTGCACTGTTAGACAATCAACGTGAATTTTTTTTTTGTATTTTTTTTTTTATTAATAAATTTTATTTTGACATTCTTTACATAGTTAATTAGGGTAAGAAGGTTCAAGGGCTACAGGAAAGTGGATAATACTAATATGTTTTCCATATTGTTACCTTCATGTTTAAAAGGGGGGTATTAAGGGAGAAGGCCCACCCAATTTCCCACCCTCCCCAAGACCCGGGTGTAGGGCATGCTCTGAGGTTCTTGCTCAAGTGGTTTTGATATTGCAACAGTTATGAATCGCTGTCAGTGTGAGTAAAAGCATATTTTAAATATAAAAACCATCTATTTTTCTTGTAACAATACTCATATTCTCCTCTCCAAGTTTACGTCAACCCACATAACAGTCACCACCCGACAATCTGCTTTGGTATGAAAATTCAAGCCTTCAAATTTGTGGTGAGATAAACAGGTACAAAATTAACAATGGCTTTTTTTTTTTTTTGTAATTAAGATCCTGTGTATAATTTCAGCCACACACATGCATCTGTGCATACTCACTAAAGACAAACTTTATAAGGAATTTTCTCCAGTCATGCTTTGTTGAGACCTATTGCTTCTTCAATTTTGTACCTAGTAGAGAGAGACATAATTCCTTTAAGGCTAATTGTATAACTTCAGGATACTACCAAAGACATTTACATTGAAAAGTTGACTGGTGGAAGAGTTGATCCTGCTTTGTGGAAGTCTTTACTCTGTTCTGGGTACATGTATGGATTATCCCCCGGAGTCAACTTGGGAATTCCATTTCTGGAATCAATATCTGCGGGAAACATTTAAAAACAAAATCACTCGAAACCCTTTGCATGGGACATTGGTGTAGGTTCAAATGGGGTGCTATGTTTAAAATACACATAAGGTGAACTTAGCAATGGTTTGAAAGATCTCTGACTTCAAAAGCATTTCCATCCTGAGTTTTAGCACACGTTGGCTGTAAGCTGTACCTGGGGCTTTGACCAGGTCAGGTCCAGGAGGAAATCAGGCGACCAGCATCCTGCTCCTGTTTTGAGAGTGGGGGCTGTGCAGCAGCAAGAGCAGGTCCCTCCCAGGTGAAGAGTGGTCAGGAGAAAGTCTATTGCCAAGCCTGGCCTGGCTTCTTCATTCCAGGTCCTAACACCCAGCTCCACCCCACCAATGTCCTGCCAACAAGAGACTAATCACAGGAGTGCAAGAGGAGGCAGCCTGGCAGGGGATGGTCATTTCAACCCACACATCTGATGCATCTCCCAGAGAACAAGCCTGGATTAGGAGAGTGACCATCCTTGAGCTCAGAAGTCAGGACACACAGCTGGAGGCACAACCCCCTTCTTGACCCCAAATCTAATCAACAGTGCACTCTCCCTCCTGGCTCCTGGCTTTGGATCAGCTCAACTGTGGTCACTGCAGCCACTTGGGAAGTGAACCAGCAGACAAAAGACCTTTTCTCTCTGTCTCTCTTTCTCTCTGTAAATCTGCCTTTCCAATTAAATAATAATAATAATAATAAATATTTTTAAATGTTTTGTTTTCTTTGAAAAGAAGGGAGACAGAGATCTCTCATCTACTGGTTCACTCCCCCAAATGTCCACAACAGCCAGGTCTGGACGAAGCCCAAGCCAGGAGCCAAGAACTCAATCTGTGTCTCCCATGTCAGTAGCAAGGACTCAACAATTTGAGCCGTCACCTACTGCCTCTCAGGGTGCATATTAGCAATCAGCTGGAAATAGAAATGAATCCCGCACTCGAACCCAGGCCTATCAAATGAAATTCAGTAGTCCCCAAGAAGTGTCTTAATCAGTATATCAAATGTCCATTCCTCAAGGCTTATTTGGATATAACTTAATTCAACTGTACCCACAATGCCAAACAGATCAGGGTGCCTCAATTCCCAAAACTGTGAGCTACATCAATTTCTTTAAGAATTCCTCAGTTTGGGGGCTGGTGCTGTGACTCAACAGACTAACCTTCCACCTTCAAGCACCAACATAAGATATGTATTCCAGCTGCTCCATGTTCCACCCAGCTCCCTGATTATTGCCTGGGAAAGCAGAGGAGGATGGCCCAAGTGCTTGGGACTCTGCACCTGTAGGAGGCTCCTGCTTCTTGACTTTGGATCAGTTCAGCTCCAGCTGTTGCAGTCACATGGGGAAGTAGGGTTCCGGTGTGGGGGGACAGCAAGAAGTGGAAAGAAGGGTTTGGCCTCTGGCGCTAATCACACCTGAGTGCAAATGCAATCCAGCAATTTCTGGCTCTGTGCTTTTGAACTATTTATTTCACCTCCTAAGAGTTAGTAGCCTCATTTCTAAACTGCTTCTTCCAAAGGACTGCTTTGCAGAGGCGTCATGAGGATGGACTGAGCACATTAACTGGCACTCAAGACATGCCAGCAGTGAGAGTGCTACCTGAAATCAGGACTGAACCAACGCCCCTCAGCTCTTTTTTTTTTTTTTTTTTTACTTGAGAGGCAGAGACACACCGTAAGCAACAATGAGAAACAGAGAGTTAGCGACAGTGAGTGCCCATCCACTACTTCACTCCCCACATGCCCACAAACGGCCTTACTGGGCTGAGCCAAACCCAGAACCTGGGAACTCAAGCCAAATGTCTCAACTGGGTGGCAGGGAGCCAACCAGCAGAGCCTTGGCTGCGACCTCCCAGGGTGCCTATTAGCAGGAAGCTGACATCAGGAGCCTTTCTGGGAATCAAACGCAGCCACTCCAGTGTGGAATGTGGGACTCTTCCCTCATACCCTTTTCCATTTATTTTCATTAACTCTTCTGTGATAAACCTGTTGCATTCCAATTCAAAATGCCAGCTGGCTGGCAAGTCCTGATCCTGCCTTTCCATCTTTTCCAATAGATAATAGAAGCAGAGTGTGAGGATGTGATAAAGCAGGAGGGATTCAGTATCAAGCTTAACAGTTTCAGGTGCTCCAGTGAGACCCAGAACAGGAGGAATGGTGAAGAGACTGCATTTGATGTCGATGTAGAAGCTGGTGCTAATGGCATAGCAGGCAAAGTTGCCACCTGCAGCACCAACATCCCATATGGACACCAGATCAAGTCCCAGGGGGCTCTATTTCCTATATACCTCCCTGCTAAAGTGCCTAGGAAGGCAGTGGAGGATGGCCCCTGCACCCACTTGGGAGAACCAGAAGAGGCTTCTGGCTCCTGACTTTGGGCAGTTCAACTCTGGCTGTTGTGGTCTTTTGGAGCATGAACCAGCAAACTGAAGATCTCTCTCTGTCTCTTTCTCTGTGTTGTGTATGTGTTTCCTTCTCTAACTCTGCCTTTCAAATGCATAAATAAACCTTAAAAGAAAAAAAAAAAGTCTGTATACATCACCTACAACCAATCAGTCCTATGCATCTAACTGCAGTTCATAGGTGAGTCCTAGGAAGAGGAACCTGACCAATGGCATCAAGGAATACAATCAACAAAGTCCCAGCCATGCTAGACCCTACAGGACAATAATCAGGCTGCTTCTCCAAACAAAAAAACTAGGGAGGGGAACCTGTACGTGAAAAACATGTATGTTTAGACACAGTAACTAATTTCAGTGAGAAGAATCTACTTGGAGCCTAATTTATTAAATTATGGCATTTACGAGATGATAGGACATTTAAACTCCCACTGGAATCATTGATGCTCTAAAACAATTGTGAATTTTTTCATTTTAAAAAATATGTTTGGGGCCCAGCGCAGTGGCGCAAGTGGTTAAGGTCCTCGCCTAGCACGCCCCCGGGATCCCATGTGGGCGCCAGTTCTAATCCCGGCAGCCCCGCTTCCCTTCCAGCTCCCTGCCTGTGGCCTGGGAAAGCAGTCGAGGACGGCCCAAAGCTTTGGGAACCTGCACCCGCGTGGGAGACCCGGAAGAGGCTCCTGGCTTCGGATCGGCATAGCATTGGCCATTGCGCTCACTTGGGGAGTGAATCATCGGACGGAAGATCTTCCTCTCTGTCTCTCCTCTCTGTATATCCGCCTTTCCAATAAAAACATAATAAAAATAAATCTTGAAAAAAAAAATATGTTTGAGAGACAGAGAGCTCCATCCTTTGCTTCACTTCCTGAAAACTCATAACAGTTCATCTGGCCTAAAACCAGATGCAGGGAAGTCAACCAGGTTTCCTACACGGATGCCAGGCACCTGCCTGCCTCCCAGAGTCTGCCAGCAGCAGCAGTCAGAAGCAGGGATGGAACCCAGGCCCTTGACAGAGTACCTAGATGTCTTGACTGCTACTAACTCAAACAATACCCTGCTTGTTAATGTTTTAAAGCTATGGCATCGTGATGTGCTCTTATGCTTATATAAATAAAAGTAATGTTACATTAGAAGTGTATCATGATATATTTGAAGATAAAATGATAACAGTGCTTGGAATCTACTTTAAAATAGTTCCTAAGGGGAGGGGTAACAATGAACCATGAGTAGCTCCCTGCTGATGGTTACTGAAACAAAGTATAGGATCCCATCAGGTTTCATCACATGCTAATCACCCGAACTTGGCATGATTAGAAATTTATCGACCACATTTTTCTTTTTTTTTAAAAAAAAGATTTGTTTTATTTTTATTGGACAGTCAAACACATAGAGAGGAGGAGAGACAGAGGGGAAGATCTTCCATCTATTGACTCACTCCCCAAGTGGCCATAACGGCCAGAGCTGAGCCAATCCGAAGCCAGGAGCCAGAAACTTCTTCTGAGTCTCCCATGTGGGTGCAGGGGCCCAAACACTTCAGCTATCCCCTTCTGCTTTCCTAGGAACAGTAGCAGGGAGCTGGGAAAGAAACTGAAATGGCCAGGACTCAAACTGGCAAATATATGGGATGCCAGCGATACAGGTGGAAGTTTAGCGTGCTACACCACAGCACAGGATTCCCCAAAATTTAATTTTTATTGAAGAGATGTCATGTATTTCACTGGTACAATTCTAACACAACCATACATTCCTTCCTTCTCTTCCCTCCCTCAATCTCTCTCCTTCCTTTCTTTTCTTTAATTTTTACAAAAACATAATTTCAATTCACTCTTATAGTCTCAGGCTTACTGTACCCCTAGCCATACTACTCAACAAGGAAAAAGCAGAAAGACCACAGCAGCAACCAAATCACGAGGCACTGACTTCAAATGAAAAAATGAAAAATGAAAATAAACAAATAAAAAGATGGCAAAAATAAAAACGTTCAGGTTATTTTGATACTAAAACTGCCAAACCCAGGCATAGTGCTTTTTTTTTTTCAAGATATGCTGTCTGAAGACCTCTCAAATCAACTATTCATCTCAGTTGTCTTTCTTTTTTTAATCAACTGGCCGGAGTCCTGCCTGCATGGTGGGTACCAGGTCCATGAGATCTGGGGCGGGGGACCAGTGGGGCCTGGGTCATCTGATTGGGGTCCTTGGCCTACCTGCAAGAACTGGTCCTCCTCAGTGGAAAAGACAAAGAAGTAGATAGCTGGCCCAGATCCACATGGAGGATATGGCAGCCCACTGAGGCCTGCAGAGGACACCTGTACCATGCCAGAGGAAGGAGGGCAGAACAAATTGGTTAACTACCCCAGCCAAATGATGACAGCAAATATCTGAGCAAATATCTGGTCGAATAAGGTCGACCATGTCAGCTAACGGACACTGAAAGTATTCCCTCATCCTTGGATTGGTGAGATGAACATTTCAGAACTATCAAAACCACCTTGGCAGAACCCTCAGAGCTTATGCCACTTTGGGACCCTGAGTCGATATCGGGTGGCCATTCCCCATTCCTGGGTACTGGGGCATTGGGAGGCTGTGTGCAGCTTTGCCCCTTATCCCCTCCCCTACCCCCAGAAACAGGAAGAGGAGGTAGAGAATTTAGAGAGGGTAATCACACCAGCTTTTCCCTAATCCTGGATCCTTCCCATCCTGATCAACTATGTCAACTATGTTAACATCATCTAAAATTAAGAAGGCAGATTTACAGAAAGAAGGAGAGACAGAAAGATCTCCATCCACTGGTTCACTCCCCAAGTGGCCGCAACCACCAGAGCTGAGTTGATCTGAAGCCAGGAGCCAGGAGATTGTTTGGTCATGCTACACAGATAAAGGGGTCTCATTTTCTACAGCTTTCCCAGGCCATAAGCAGGAGCTGGAGCAGCCAGGATAGGAACTGATGCTCATCTGGGATCCCAGGATTTACAAGGTGAGGATTTAGGAACGAGCCATTGCACTTGGGCCTCAATTGTTTTTAGTAAAATAAAACATAAAATAGCCACAGGCATTTCAGGGTGAGGTTGAAGGAATGTTTTCCTAGTGAGGAATATAAAATACACTTCAAGGCAGATGCCAGATGGCATCCAATAGAAACATTAAGTGATTTTCCTCGGACTTGAATGAGGACTTCTATTAATAAATATCTGAGAGAATTTATCTGATGACATAAATGTCACATTAGCATTTTATGAAATTGAGAGAAAAGCGGCAATGTGGATCAGCATATGCCATGAGTTCTCTGCCAAATGTACAGGCTGCCAAGCAAGCCCCTTTTTTCTCTTGCCTTCTTGGTCACATGAGGGAGACAGGAGGACCCCACAGGGCTGCAGAAACTGGCACCACACAGTTGGAGCCCGGGAGTGAGGAGTGGGTTGGCTATACCATATTTTTTTCTCCCCAGGCACTTGTCCACCGTCCTCTCTGAGCATGACCTCCTGTTGCCGAGGAAGACACCGTTGAACCGGCACTGCTTTCCCACGTGGTAGGTGTGGATGTTGCTGCTAAGCCTGGGGTAGAATGTCCACTCAGGACGCTGCCCATCCTCTGGAAGACAGCAGAAATGCTTCTGTGAGCACCTCTTCCAGCCTCTGACACAATGCGGACAGGAACCGCCTCCTTCCCCATCCCAGGCAGGATCTGGCAGCAGGAATCTATCCATGTGCATGACAACGCCACCTTCCACAAAAGGAAAGACGTGGGAGGGCAGTTGTCCAAGCAGCCTGGGTAACCCTTTTACCCACCGCCTTCAAAAACAAAAGCAAAGTTATGCGTGGAAGTGAAGTATGTGTTGGAAAGCTCACACACTCTCACAAGCACTGTGATTTAACCTTCCCTCTGAGAACTTGACCAGATGGAGCGTGGTGTCGGCAGTGACAGCAGCACATGCACGCCTGACGGTCACCCGGGGAAACATGCACAGGGATAAGGACCAAAGCACACCAGACAGAGCTCGGGCTAGCTTCTGCACCTCGCTCGACCTCCACACTTGCCCTGTAAAATTGCTAGTGAGGATTTTATTTATTTATATTTAATTATTGAAGAGGCAAAAAAAGGCGGGGGGGTGCACTCCTAGCCACTGGTCCATTTCCCAAAGATCTAAAACGGCAGGGGCTGGGTCAGGATTGAAAGCAGGAGCTGGTGGCCCCCATGGCAAACAGGAACCTAACCACTTGAGCCATCACCTGCTGCTTTGTAGTATCTATAGTAACAGCAAGCTGGATTAAGAGCTGGAGACTGGAATTGAACCCTGGCACTTAGGTGCAGGCTGTGGGCATGGACACCCCTACACTAAATACCCACCCTGACAGAGGTGATTTGAAACAAGAAAAAATTCTCTTGCAGCTCTAAGCTTGCTCGAGGAACACCCAGGATCTGGGGTGGCTAAGAAGAAACTGATTTTACAGGTAGGCAAGTTTGTGTTCTAACCCCACCTCTTAACTTTCTGGCTATGCTTACATGTGTAAGTGACTAAATCTCTCCAGACCTCAGTTTTCTTCTCTATGGAATGAGTAGGTCTATATTGGGCTAGTAGATCAAAGTAAGTAGATCTACTTACTGTTAAATAAGAACAATAAGAACAATTTGTATACTACAGTGCATTTGTTACATATATGTAATGCACATTGTTAAGCATACAAATACATGTAATGTATATGCATGTATAAACACAGCCACATACCACTTTACAACATGGATATTCTGAGTAATCCTTTCATAGGTCATTCCATCACTAAGTGAATATCACAGGTGACTTTCACAAACCTAGTAGTGCAGGATCATTGTGGGTTTCCTTTTGTTTTGAAGGATTTATTTGAAACACAGAATGCTTAACAGAGAGAGAGAGAAGATTCCATCTATTGATTCACTCCCCAAATGCCTGCAACAGCCAGGGATGGACCAGGTCAAAGTCAGGAGCCTAGGGCTCATTCCAGATCTCTCACTCCCCCACATGGGTCCCAAGCACCCAGGCCATCTTCATCTGCTGTCTTCCCAGGTGCTGTAGTAGGAAGCTAGATTGGAAGTGGAGCAGTCAGAACACAAACTAGTACTCCAATATGAGATTCTGGCTTCACAACTGGCAGTTTAACTCACTACACAAAACACCTACTTCATCCACCATGGGGGGAGGAGGGTATGGGGAAGGGCTGGGGGAATCCCAGAGCCTATGAAACTGTGTCACATAATGCAATGTAATTAATAAAACATTAACTACATTAATTAATATTAATTAATTACTTCATGATGTGGCCTCTCGATGTACACATGAGATAGATGAACTTGCTGCCACTGTAACATGGCTGACTATTTTACAGAAAACGGCCTTTTCATTCAAGTAGAAGTACACTCTAAAATAATGATGAAAAGCACCATCATGGTGGGATAGTGAGTTGGACTGCAACTTGTGATGTCAGCATTGCATATGGGTGCTGCTCCTATAGGTGCTGCTCCAAGTGCCTGCTGCTCTGCTTCCGATCCAGCTCCCTGTTAATGCACTGTGGAAAGCAGTGAAAGATGGCCCAAGTGCTTGGCCCCTGCACCCAGGTCATAGACCTGGATAGAGTTCCTGTTTACTGGTTTAAGCCTGGCCCAACCCTGGACATTACAGACGTTTGGGAAGTGAATCAATGGATGTAAGAGTTCGCTCTCTCCCTTTATCTCCCTCTGTAACTTTGCTTTCAAATAAATAATAAACATATATATATTTTTCAAGTTTAGGGGCAGAGGTGGCACTGTGGCTCAATAAACTAATCCTCCACTTTCAAGTGTTAGCATCTCATATGGGCACTAGTTCAAGTCCCAGTTGCTCTACCTCATATCCACACCCAGCTTGTGGCCCGGGAAAGCAGCAGAGGATAGGTTAAGTCCTTGGGTCCCTACACATTCATGTGGGAGACCCAGAAGAGGCTCCTGGCCCCTGGTGCCTGTTATTGGCTCCTGGCTTCAGATTGGCTCAGCTTAGGCCATTGCAGCCATTTGGGGTGTGAAACAGCACATGGAAGATCTTTCTCTCTGCCTCTCATCTCTATGAATCTTTCTAATAAAAATAAATAAATATTGAAAAAAAAGCTTAGGGACCAGCATGGTGGCATAACAGGCTAATTCTCTACCTGTGGCACCAGCAGCCCATATGTACACCAGTTCTAGTTGCAGTGGCTCCACTTTCAATCCAGCTTCATGCCTGTGCCTGGGAAAACAGTGGGAGATTGCTCAAGTGCTTGGGAACCTGTACCCATGGGGGACACCCAGAAGAACTTCCTGGCTCCCAGTTTCAAACCAGTCTAGCTTCGGCCGTTGCAGCCACTTGGAGAATGAACCAGTGGATAGAAATCTCTGTGTAGTTCTTTCAAGTAAAAATAAATAAATATGCTTAAAAAAAAACTAAAAAGTAGAGAAAAGTACAGATGGTATGATAAATACATAAACTAGCGACATGGTCGTTATTACCATGGTTGAGTCCCCATTACAGCACACAGTTGTGTCGGCCATACTCTGATATGACCAGCAGTGCAGCATCATACAAGCTGCTGAGAAGCGTGAGCTGCACTGCATTGCAACAGCTGCCAGCTCACTAGGCAACAGGCATTTCCCAGGTCCTTACAGGGATGGGGAACATCAGATGACTAGCCATATAGGGCCTGTAGAATCATCTGGTCTGGCCCTGCAAAGGCAAATGCATGTGGGACTTGCAATTCAGTAAATATCTAGCAGGCTGATTTCTAAGTTGACAATTCTGTACAGCCCATGAATGATGTTACAAACATCCAAATGGCCCTCGATAGGAAAAATACTCCAAACCCCTGCATGATAATCCCCTGTGTGGCTTATCACTGACCAAATGAATGACTAGTTAAATATCTGAATATACACATGTGCATTTCAAAATTCTCAGAAAAGATGTTATTCATGGAGGGTATTAAGGAATATTGGAGAGCAGGTTGTGACACTAGACCTCCATGTGATTTTCACACTTGTTTAGCCATGTACCTTATTACAATAGTCCACTCAACGAGGGATCATGTACGCAATGGTCCCATAAGATTAATGATGCTGCAGCCACCTTAGCTGGTGTAAGTGCACTCCATGATGTTCACACAACACTGAGACGGATTGAGGACACGTGTCTTAGAATACACTCACAACTTTGAGATGTGCTCCTGTGTTTTATTCAGTGTTCCTCAGGTTTTTACATAAAGGCACCTTCCCAGCAAAGGAATTAAAGAGGAAGCATGTCCAGGGACTGGTACTGGACTCAGTGATGGTGGCCAACAGGATGGTAGATTTCCATAAAGACTTCGGGGCACAGGAGCCTGTGAGGAGGGCCCAGTGTTACTCACTTGTCTGCAACTTGAGCAGGCTCAATTCCTCAGGAGGGTTATCCTGCTGGCCCTCAGACAATGAGACTTCAGAGGAGTGGTCAGAATGCGAGGAGGAGGATTTCCCATCCAAAGCTGCAGCCATACTGGAAAGAAAGCACAGGGCTTGGAGTCTTCCATGGACACAGACTGACAGAACCTGGTCTGATGTGTCTCATCCCCAAATCACCCTTACCTCTGGGCGTGCCTGCTCCCCTATAAAAATTCCTAAAGAGGGCTGGTGTTGCAGTATAGTGGGTAAAGCTGCCACTAGCAATGCCAGCATCCCATATGAGCAGCAAATTCAAGTCCTAGCTACTCTGCTTCCAATACAGCTTCCCGCTAATGTGCCTAGGAAAACAGCAGAAGATGCCCCAAGAATCTGGGCTCCTGTCACCCTATGGAAGACCTGGAAGAAACTCCTGGGTTCTGTCTCCTAGCTTCAACTTGGCCTAGCTCTGGCCATTGCAGCCAATTTGCTGTTTGGCGAGTGAATCAGTGGATGGAAGCTTACACATGCTCTCTCTCTCATTCACCTTCTCTCTTCTTAAATACCTTCCAAATAAATAAATATTTTCTTTTACAAAAATTTCTCTGGGGAACTAGCATAGTGTGGCATAGCAAGCTAATCCTCCACCTGTAGTGCTGGCATCCCATATGGGAACCAATATGAGTCCTGGCTACTCTACTTTCCATCTACCCCTGCTAATGGCCTGGGAGAACAGCAGAGGATGGTCCAAGTGCTGGGCCTCAGCGCTTATGTGGGAGACCTGGAGGAAGCTCCTGGCTCCTGGCTTCGAACTTGCCCAGATTCAGCCATTGTGGTCATCTGAGGAGTGAACCTGTGGATGAATGATCTTTATCTGTCCCTCCTTTTCTCTGTGATTCAACCTTGCAAATAAAAATAAAATATATCCAAAAAATGTCCAAGTGTACTGTTTCTTTATTCACAATGTGGGGGAACTGAAATACATTCAAAAGATGCATGTTTTAAAAACTGAAATGAAAAATGAAAGAAAGAAAAAGAAGAGCTGAGATGAGCCAACAGCTTAATCCTCCATCTTCAAGTGCTCTCATTCCCTATGGAAGCCACTTCCCATCCAGTTCCCTGCTTGTGGCCTGGGAAAGCAGTGGAGGATGACCCAGATGAGAGACCTGGAAGAAACTCTTGGCTCCTGACTTCAGATCAGCTCAGTTCTGACCACTATTTGGAGAATGAACCAGCAGATAGAACATCTTTCTCTCTCAGTCCTTCCTTCTCTCTATAAATCTGCTTTTCTAACTAAAAATAAATATTTACAAAGAAAAAAAAAATCATGGGGATGATTCCTCAAAAAGTTTAACACAGCTCATGACCTAGCACTTCAACGCCTCAGAATACCCCTCAAAAACCTGAAAACACAGACTGATCTGAATGGTCGTTGCAGCAATATTCACAACAGCCCAAAGTGGAAACAACCCATCTGTTGGCAGATGAATGAATGAATAAAATGTGGTCTACACAAACAATGGGGAAGCATTCAGCCATCAAAAGAAATGAAGTTCTGAAAATGCTATAGCATAAATGAAATAAGCCAGCTACCAAAGGACCAATGCTGGAAGATTCCACTTACGTGACGTAGGTAGAATGGGTCAGTTCATACACACAGGTTACCAAGAATCAGGGAGAGCAAAGGATGAGTTATTGCTTAATGGGTGCAGTTTTTTTTTAAAAGATTTATTTTTATTATTATTATTTTTTTATTGGAAAGGCGGATATACAGAGAGGAAAGACAGAGAGGAAGATCTTCCGTCCGATGATTCACTCCCCAAGTGAGCACAACGGCCGATACTATGCCGATCCAGAGCCAGGAGCCTCTTCCGGGTCTCCCATGCAGGTACAGGGTCCCAAAGCTTTGGGCCGTCCTCGACTGCTTTCCCAGGCCACAGGCAGGGAGCTGGAAGGGAAGCGGGGCTGCCAGGATAGAACCGGCGCCCATATGGGATCCCGGGCGTGCAAGGTGAGGACCTTAACCACTGCGCCACCGCGCAGGGCCCAATGGGTGCAGTTTTTGTGAGGATGTGAAAATGTTGTCAAAACAGATCATGGTGACTGTTGCACAAGATTGTAGGATTAATGGCTCTGAATCACACACCAGATAATGGACAGAATGACAAGCACTAGCTTACATGTGTTTCACAATTTTTAGGACAGGAAGGAGATACTGATATGTGTCACCACATGGATGAACCTTGAAGGCACTGTGCTAAGTGAAAGAAGTCAGGCACCAGAGACCACGGATTAATATTCCATGTTTGTGAAATGTAGGTCTATTGAAACAGAAACGGAATAACTGCTGTTGAGGGCTGGGGGCAATGAGGCAGATGGAGGAGGTAAGTGCTGACAGGTACAGCATCCTTTTTAGGATGGGGAGAATATTCTGAAATTGGTTGTGCCAACAGCTGCACAACTTTGCAAATCTACTAAAGCATTTGAGCTGTTCTCTTTCAGTGGGGAATGACATGGTGTGACAGTTGATTTCAAGCATCAATTTAAGGGGCACCTTGAGAACTGGGAAAGCATTGCTTTTCTCTGTGTCAGGGAGCTCGTCCCCAGAGATTGGTGTGAGAGTCGGTGAAAGAAGTAGGCAGGATCAGCCCTCAGTGTGGGCAGACACGAATGCACAGGCCAGGCTTGAATAGAACAAAAAAGGCTGAGAGAATAGGCATGTCCTTTCCCTACTCCCCTGGCACTGGACACCCTTCCCTTCTGGCCCTTGGACTTCAGGTCCAGTTCTCTCCCACCCTATACCAGGTTCTCAGAACTTCGCCTGGAACCAAGAGTACCCCTATGGCTCAGAGGCCTCAGGACTTGAGATGAACCACATCTGCAGCATCCCAGGGACCCTTACAGACAAGAAAGCCTGCCAGGGGCTTCTCAACCTCAGGAGCCATGGGAACCAAGTCCCCTAGTATGTACACCCTTTCTCACACATATCCTGTTAAATGCATTTCTCTCTGGAGAACTCCAATGCATGAGTGACATTTCAGCAAGTATGCTATCAGAACTAGTGCATATTTAATAAAACCATCACAAGTAAATTTTTAAAAGCATGACATATATGGAGAAGAAGAAACAATCAAAAACAAACTGAGAGCCCAGCTCAGTAGACTAGCGGCTGAAGTTCTCCCCTTGCGTGCACTGGGATCCCATATGGGTGCTAGTTCATATCCCAAATACTCCACTTCCCATCCAGCTCCCTGCTTGTGGCCTGGGAGAACAGTCAAGGACGGCCCAAAGCCTAAGAACCCTGCATCCACGTGGGAAACCCAGAGGAAGCTAATCGCTCCTGGCTTCAGATTGGCTCAACTATGGTTGTTGCGGCCACGTGGGGAGTGACCTAGCAGATGGACCTTTCTCTCTGTCCCACATGGGCGCAAACTGGAGGACATATCTGTATGTGTCTGATACGCTCTGCTAGTGAAACAGGTGAGGCACAAAGGCACACAAGACCCTGGCTGCAAGCACAGCATCCTTCAGCTCGGCTGATTCAAGCACGTTCAACAACTCCAACAAAAATGGGACCACAGGGACCAGTGCAATGGCCTAGCGGCTAAAGTCCTTGTCTTGAAGGTGCCAGGATCTCATATGGGTGCTGGTTCTAACCCCAGCGGTCCCGCTTCCCTTCCAGCTCCCTGCTTGTGGCCTGGGAAAGCAGTCAAGAATGGCCCAAAGCCTTGCACCCTGTGCCCGCTCAGGAGACCAGGAAAAACCTCCTGGTTCCTAGCTTTGGCTCGGCTCAGCTCTGGCCATTGCGATCACTTGGGGAGTGAATCTTCGGATGGAAGATCTTCCTCTCTATCTCTCCTCCTCTCTATCTCTCCTCCTTTCTATATATCTGACTTTGCAATAAAAATAAATCTTTTTAAAAATTGTATAAAAAAAAGAAATCTTTTTAAAAATCTAAACTAAAGTGATGACAGTAATGAAGCATTATATTTAGCACTGAACTTGAACTTGCTGGCAGTTGAAAATGTCCCCCCACAAACTGCTGTGGTGTCAATAGAAAAAGTGATCACTTCTGGTTTAAGTTGTTTAGCCCTAACAGATGGGCTCGGACAAAGTCTTCAGGTAGAGTCCTGTGGTCAAATCTTCGGCTCTTTGTTTGTTTTTTTCATACTACCGTACCACTATTATCCTTGAATACTTTTTTTAAAAATTATTTTTATTGGGCCCGGCACGGTGGCGCAAGTGGTTAAGGTCCTCACCTTGCACGCCCGGGATCCCATAGGGGCGCCGGTTCTAATCCCAGCAGCCCCGCTTCCCTTCCAGCTCCCTGCCTGTGGCCCGGGAAAGCAGTCGAGGACGGCCCAAAGCTTTGGGAACCTGCACCCGTGTGGGAGACCCGGAAGAGGCTCCTGGCTCTGGACCGGCATAGCATCGACCGTTGTGCTCACTTGGGGAGTGAATCATCGGACAGAAGATCTTCCTCTCTGTCTCTCTTCTCTGTATATCTGCCTTTCCAATAAAAAAAAATAATAAAAATTTTTAAAAAATATATTTTTATCGGAAAGTCAGATATACAGAGAGGAGGACAGACAGAGAGGAAGATCTTCCATCCATTGATTTACTCCCCAAGTGGCTACAATGGCCAGAACTGAGCCGATCCAAAGCCAGAAGCCAGGAGCCTCTTCTGGATCTCCCACATGGGTGCAGGGTCCTAAGGCTTTGTGCAATTTTTGGCTGCTTTCCCAGGCCACAAGCAAGGAGCTGGAATGGAAGTGGAGCAGCCGGGATAGGAACCAGCGTCCATATGGGATCCCAGATCCTCAAGGACTTGGGCTGTTGATCCATCCCCAAAGTGAGGACTTCAGCCATCAGGTTCCTTTGCCAGGCCCTATCCTTGAATATTGTTAAAGTAACTGCATATTGCTTGTCTAGGCTGTTCCGTGCTAAAAACACTACAATGTAAGTAGGACTGATAAAATCATGTACTTTCAAGGAGGAAGGGGACAGGGACAGCAATGAAGACGTCACTTGGGACACCCATATCCCACGTCAAGTTCTTATTCTTCTTCTGGTTCCAGCTCCCTGCTAATGCACACCCTGGGAGGCAGCAGGTAAAGGCTTGGGTACTTGGAAGAACCCTGACTGAATCCCAGGCTACTCACCATTGGGCTGCCCAAGCCCAGGCTGTTGTAGGTATCTGAAAAATTAACCAGCAAACAGTGCGACTGGTTTCTAACACTGTATTTCTAACTTTTCTATAATAAACTGAAATGGCTTTCATTATAGCAAACATTTTGAGAAATTTTTGTTGTGGAAGAAACATAAACAGAAAGATGTAGAAATAAAGTTTCACAAATAACAATAAAGCCAACATGCAGGTCAATGAACAAAGCACTGACCACCCTGGCCAACCCCCAGGAACCAGGGCTATCCCTTCCGTGAGAGGTGACTGCCGCCCTACTGTGACTCAGCATAATCATTCTTTCCTTTGCGTTTCTCACATGGTTTGGCACTTCTGTATGTGCCTATGTATTCAAAAGACGCAAAGTTTAGCTTCACTCAAGCCTTTGCACAGCACTTCTTATATGCCAGGGAGTCCTTCAGTCACCTTATACATGCTAACCTGTGGAATCCTTACAGCAGTCCTATGCAACAGCATCCCTTCTTTCTAGTTAAGAACGTGTCCATGCACCAGGTGGCAGGGCAGGCACTTGAACCTGATAGTCTAGTTCCATAGCCCGTGTTCTTGCCCAGCAGCTCGTGCCACCTCTCAGACTCTTGGCATCTTGGACAGAGCTTCCCCAGACAGCAACAGCCCACTCCCAGATTCTGACTTACTTTAGGTGAGCAACCACTCTGCAGAGACTTGGAGGCTCACTGCCACTCTCTGCTTCAACAGAGGATGAGGGGCCAGCCTTCCTGCCAGATGAAGGGGTGCTGCAATGGCTCCTCTTCAATTCCAGGAAATCACTATGGTTGGCACCTGCAACATACAGATATCATCACTTAACTGCAGGATTGGAAATAGCCAGGCAGGCATTGTGGCACAGTAGGTGAAGCCATTGAAAGCTCCACTTTCAATCCAGCTTCCAGGACGGTCCAAGAACTTGGGTCTGTGCATCCAGTTTGGAGACCTGGATGAAACTCCTGACTCATGGCTTTGGCCTGACTCAGCACCGGTCTTTGCAACTATCTGGGGAGTGAATCAGAGCAGAAAGAATAATTCTCTCTTTCTCACTCTCTAACTCTGCCTTTCAAATAAATTAATAAATTGTTAATGTCAAGTATACATGGGATATTAATGTTAATGCCCTACACCATCAGAGAAATGTAGCCAATACCCCACCCACCATGAATACTCCCCTCACTCCATCTGTTCTCCCTTAATTTTCCATAGATGGGTGCCTTTTCCACTCACAAATATTACATTACTTTGGGTATAATTTTGTAGAACACAGCAGCTCAGTACACACAATGTTAACTTCTGGGCATAAAAAAATTGCAAGAGGGGCCTGCACTGTGGTATGATAGGCTAAGCCATCGTTTGTGACACCAGCATCCCATATGGGTATCAGTTGGTGTCCTGACTATTCCACTTCTAATCCAGCTCCCTGTTTACAGCCTGGGAAAGCAGCAGAGGAAGTACCTACATGGTACTTGGGCCCCTGTACCTACATGGGAGGAAGAGCCTGGTTCCTGGCTTCAAATCAGTTTAGCTCTGACCAATGCAGCCATTTGCAGAGTAAACCAACAAATGGAAGATCTCTCTCTCTCTCTGCTTCTCCTTCTTTCTGTATTTCTGTCTTTCAAATTAAAAAATAAAATAAATATAAATATATATATTTTTGAAGATTTATCTTTATTTTTATTACAAAGCCAGATATACAGAGAGGAGGAGAGACATAGAGGAAGATCTTCCGTCCAATGATTCACTCCCCAAGTGATCGCAACGGCCGGTGCTGTGCCGATCTGAAGCCGGGAACCAGGAACCTCTTTCAGGTCTCCCACACGGGTGCAGGGTCCCAAAATAAGTCTTTAAAAAAAAATTCTATTGATAAAGCACTGTGTCATATTCTAGTTGGCAGCCTCTGTCCTTTGTGGTACAAAAAAATGCTGCTACTGGCACTGATGGGGGTCCTAGATTCCGTGAAATGCAGTGTATGTACTTAAATTGCACGTCTCCATGGCTGTGCTCAAGTCCCAGAAATTTTGATGTACAGTACTGAGTTCACTGATTATTAAGTACCTCAAGTTTTCCATTATGCTTTCTTCTTTTATCTAAATTATTTAGTGGCTTGAATTCCCAAACCTATGGGTGTGTTTTGGCTGATATTGTATTACAGATTTTTGATTGTCCTGCATTGTGGTTAGGGGGTGTTATGTGAATTATATCTGTTGACATATGTTTTGTGGTTGAGCATTGGGGTGGTCCCTCAACTGTTGGGGACCCATCCTCTGCTCTCACAGAGCTGTTCCGTTCCTGCTGCTCCCTGGATTTGGGTTCATCCCAGCCTCTCACACCTCCCACAGTCAGTTGGCGCTCTCTGCGCCTGAGCCTACTGCACATCCCAGGGAATGTTCCAAATGGCATTTCTCACATGTTCCTCGCATTCTTGGTCACCTGAGGCTCTTCCTAAATACACTGATTTCCAGACTGTAGGTCTGCTCAGCATCCCAGAAGGTGCAAGTTGAATGAATGCCCCCAAGAGAAGCACAGAACCGCCTGCGGAGTGAACCCCCGGATGGAAGATCTTTCTCTCTCTCTCTCCTCCTCTCTGTATGATTTATTTTATTTTTATAGGAAAGGCAGATATACAACCACTACACTATCGCACCAGGCCCCAAAATAAATCTTCAAAAAGAGAGAGAGGGCCAGCGTCGTGACCTAGAGGCTAAAGTTCTCGCCTTGAAAGTGCCCGGATCCCATATGGGCGCCGGTTCTAATCCCAGCGGCCCCACTTCCCATCCAGTTCCCTGCTTGTGGCCTGGGAAAGCAGTCGAGGACGGCCCAGGGCCTTGGGACCCTGCACCTGTGTGGGAGACCTGGAAGAAGCTCCTGGCTTCTGGTTCGGCCAGCTAAGCTCTGGTCGTTGCGGTCACTTGGGGAGTGAATCATCGGATGGAAAATCTTCCTCTCTGTCTCTCCTCGTTTCTGTATATCTGACTTTGCAATAAAAAATAAATAAATCTTTTTAAAAAGCTTTTTTAAAAAAACGGAAAGAAAACAAAAGAGAGAGAACAAGAGGGGGAAGGAGGGAGAAAAAAAAGAAAGAAAGGAAGGAAGGAAAGAAGGAAGGAAAGAACGGGTATCACTAGGGACACCCACATCCCCACATCCCTGTCCTAGTTTTTGGGTTCTGCCTCCCATTCCAGCTTCTCCCTAATGCCCTCTCAAGGTCAACAGGTGATGGCTCCAACAGCAGGGTCCCTGACACTGGTGTGGAAGACCCAGACTGCGTTCCTAGCTCCTGGCTTTAGCTTGGCTGTTGCAACATTTGACGATTTAAACACTGGGTTGAAGACCTCTCTTTCTATCTCAGTCTCTCTGTTATCAATAAATAAATAAACCTTCAGCATAACTACTACATTTCCTTTAAAATACATGTATATACATATTTATTTACGAGGCCGGTTGGTAGGCAGCCGGAGCGTGAGCTCTCGGGCACTGACTCACTCTCTAAATGCCCGTAAGAGCCTGAGGCAGGAGGTTGGAAGCCTGGAACACAACGCAGGTCTTTCCTTTTCTCTCTGTAAGTCGGCCTTTCCAATAAAAATAAATAAACCTTAAAAAAAGAAAAGAAAAGAAATTTCATCCTTTACTGAAGATCAGAGTGGAAACTGTAGAAAGATCTTGGGGCTTCAAGTTAGAAGCACAGAACCTCTTGCTCCCTGCTGACCCACAAAGAGGCTTAAAAGACTCCAACTCCGCCAGCTTCTCTGGCCCCAGCTGACAGCCCAGCGTGGAGAATTATCCCCATCTCCTCTCTCTGCCCTGCGAAGAAGATCGTATACACACGCATTACAGGAGACCAGGAGCAAAGCTAAGAACTTCCAGTACAAAAATGGGACATTCCACAATCCCTTGCGGCGGCCCACAGACCACCCACCTGCAACAGGAAAACATCAAGCACTCTGAGGCGTCATGGGAGGCTGTAGCGGTTCTGCTCTGTGACACTACCCCATGGGCAGATGGGCACTAAGCCGCCTCCTCAACCAGAAGTGCCAGTTATGACTGGGCAATGCTTGGCCTGGAGGCTAAAATACCTGTGTCCCATATCAGTGTGCTTAGGTGTAATCCTGGCTCTGGCCCCCGACTCCAGAGTCCTGCTTACACAGGCAGGTAGTGAAGAGAGCTCTAGAGATTGGTCCCTGCCACCCACGTGGAAGCCATGGGTGGAGTTCCCAGCCCCCAGCTTCAGCTCCATTCAGTCCCAGCCAATGCAGGCACTGCATGAAGCCACTGCTTCTCTCTGTATGTGTGTGTGTGTCTCTCTCTCTCTCAGGTAAATTATTTTTTTAAATTTTAAACTCCAGCTTTTGCGCTATCAGCCTTTTTCCAGTTGCCTTAGGGATCCTGTGCAATGCCTCAGTGGCTAAGCCTCCTGCTTCAAGCACAGGCACCCCTTTTGGCCACTGGTTCGTGTCCCAGCTGCCCCACTTTCCATCCAGCTCCCTGCTTGTGGCCTGGGAAAAGCAGTCAAGGATGGCCCAAAGTCTTGAGACCCTGCACCTGTGTGGGAGACCCAGAAAAAGTTCCTGCTTCCTGGCTTCAGATTGACTCAGCTTCGGCCACTGCAATCACTTAGGGAATGAACTAGCAGATGGGAGATGCTTCTCTGTTTCTCCTTCTTCCTGTAAATCTGCCTTTCCAATAAAAATAAAGAAATATTTTAAAAAAATTTTTTTCCTTAGGGCCCAGCATGGTAGCCTAGCAGCTAAAATCATCACCTTGAATGTGCCGGGATCCCATGTGGGCGCTGGCTCTAATTCCGGCAGCCCTGCTTCCCATCCCGCTCCCTGCTAGTAGCCTGGGAAAGCAGTCGAGAATGGTCCAAAGCCTTGGGACCCTGCACCTCTGTGGGAGATCCAGGAGAGGCTCTGGGCTCCTGACTTCGGCTTGGCTCAGCTCTGCCTTGTGGCCGCTTGGGGAGTGAATCAATAGACGAAGATCTTTGTCTCTCCTCCTCTCTGTATATCTGATTTTCTAATAAAAATAAATAAATCTTTGGGCCTGGTGCCGTGACCTAGTGGCTAAAGTGCTCGCCTTGAACACGCCAGGGTCCCATATGGGTTTCGGTTCTAATCCCAGCAGCTCCACTTCGCATCCAGCTCCCTGCTTGTGGCCTGGGAAAGCAGTTGAGGACGGCCCAAAGCCTTGGGACCCTGCACCTGTGTGGGAGACCCAGAAGAGGATTTGGGATCCTGACTTCGGATCGGCGCAACACCAGCTGTTGTGGTCGCTTAGGGAGTCATCGGACAGAATATATTCCTATCTGTCTCTCCTTCTCTTTGTATATCTGACTTTGCAGTGGAAATAAATAAATAAATCTTTAAATTTTTTTTCTCCTTAGAGTGTTCATAATTTCTACCCAGGCTGCCACAAATCTACTCACAGCTGAGCCAATGAGAAAAGGATAAAAAGGGAAGGGATGGGAGAGGAAGCGGCTCTGCAAATGCAGATCCTGTCAATCTCAGCCTCCCAGGTTGTTGACCAAGCACTGGACAGGGAAGGACACTGCCTCCGCCTGCTCTGGGACAGACATCCCACGCGGTCCTGAGTGTGGTCGCAGATGGGCTAACAGTCACAAACTGTCCTTCAAGCCCTTCTTGCTGTGTACCCGAAACCGAGGCTCCCCCAGCCACATCCACACCCAGGCCACCTCATTTTCTTGGAACTCAACTGTATCTCCTCCTTTCCTTGGTGTTGTCGGCGTTCCTGTACTCTGGAATCTTCTCCGGCTCTCTGCTGCAGGAGGAGCTGGCAGCTCCTTGGGAGGTCTCCAGGGACCGTGGCGTCATCTCCGCACGTGTTGCTGTGAAACGTTGGAAGCAATGCAGACACAAAGAAAAAGACCCCTGTGGGCAAAGGCGCCGGTCAGAACCAGCTCTGACACTCCACACGCCCAGCCAAGGCCAAGGCTGGACTGGCCTCCCGCTCGGGTCTGCGGCCCCGCGCTCTCCACCTCGGCTCGGCCTGCTTGGGTTCCCAGGTGACACCCAGGAGCCGCGCCCGGGTGAACGCACCACTGCCAGGTGCCCTGGTGCCAAGTGCCGAGAGCCACGGCCAGACCGCCGCCCCCGCCGAGAGCCACGGCCAGACCGCCGCCCCCGCCGGCCTCCTCTGTTGCCAAGACGCGTTCTGCGGTTGCCCGGACACCAGCTCCGGGCTGGAGGCGGGGGGAGTCCGGGGCGCCCGCCTCCTGCCCGACCTGGCTGGACTCCACCGTCCTCGGGCGCCTCCTGGGCAGTCAGTGCGGGATGGAGTCTCCGTAAAGGCGTTCCTGCCGTGTTCGTGCAAATACCGCTTGAAAAGCAGCTTAAATGTTCTTTTTTGTTGTTTGTTTGTTTTAAGAATTAGGATGCTTTTGCAGGCAATTTTCATTACTAGACCCAGAGCCTCCAGTAGCTAAGAATGCGTTTCACGAAGTTTGCAGGTGCCGCTTTGTAACCTGCCTTGATGGGACAGGATTCAGCTGCTACTTCCAGTGTGGCATTTCTGGGCCAGGCGCCCTGGTGATGTTATCTTCCTCGCGCAGCCTGCTGCATTTTTCAAAATAGAAAGCTGACTTTGAGCAAGGGCCTACCCAAGGTCACCCGGAGAGCTGGGATGCATCTTTCAAATCCTCTACATCTTCAGTGACTTCCTGAGCCTTGCTATAAGATCCTTATACCTGTAACAAAGTCCCTAAATTCATAATTAGACTGAGTTTCACCCTTGGTGAAGTGACCAAAAAAAAAAAAAAAAAAACCTGTCTTACTTTTTAATTTAAAAAATTTGTACAGCCTTTCCAATGAAAATAAATAAAACTCTTTTAAAAATTACAGATAGCAAATGAGCATTGTGGAAATCCTGGGGAATACTGAAAATGTTGTTCCTATACATAATCCCACAATAATCCAGAGATCAAGCACTTGTTTTAGGTGTCTGGGTGTTGCTGTGTAACAAGTCCACCCCAGACCCCGTAGCTCCAACAGCAACGCCTCGGATTCTCTGCATTCTGAGTGTTGTCTGGGCTAGACTGTTCCTATGTGAGATTCATCCTAAAGCAGCAGGCGGGGGCTGCAGCTTCCCCAGATCTCGGATGATTGGGGTTCACTGTGCAAACACAAGTGTCCCAGAAACAGCCGTGAAAACAGCACTGCCTCTGAAGTCTCCACTTGAGGGAGCTGGCGCCTAGGCCCCACCTCCCAACCGGAAGGGTCGGATTTGTAGGAAGGGCCTGGGAGATGGAGCATCTTGCAGAATACAACTTGCCTCTTTCCTTAAGGCTGTTTCCATCCTGTTCTGTTTCAACTCACTTGCATGTTAGTGCAATCAAGATCTAACTACACACCCAATTTTGCATTGGGCTTTTAAATATTTTATCCAGAGCATTTCCTCTGATTACAGTTATCTTTTCAAACATGCACATTTTATCTATAATCCTCCTGTGATGGAAGCGATAATAGCTTTAATCACAGAACTGTTGGCTGGGCAACAGCACAGCTATCAGTGGCTTGACACAGGGTGCTGGCAATGACAGGAAGACATGTGGTGTTTGCCTTTGTTCACCGTTCTGCGGCAAGCGCCTAGCACAGTGCCTGGCACACAGAGGCACTCAATATACACTTGTTTCAATGAGAGGATAATTGAGTGGATGGGCAGGTGAACAAACGGATGGACGGATGGATGGATGAAAGGATGAATGATTAAAAACCAGGTCCTCTTCACTCCCCAGGCTCCACAGTGTTAAGACCCTAACTGTTGGTCCAGTGACTGCAAGGCAAGGGGGCAAATCCTGAAATAGCCACTATCATTTCCAGTGAGTTCTTTGACCTCCGGCTCATAAACCTCTGGTCCTCTGCAGCTTTAAATCTCCGAGGCCAATTTGTTCTCCACCCTTGGGCAAATTTTATTTCCTTCCATTTAGTTAGTTAGTTATATTTGAACAGTAGAGACAGACAGACAGTAAGTGAGCTCCCACCTGCTGGCTCACTATCCAAATGGCCAGTCATGGCTGGGCCAGTCTGAAGCCAAGGATCTTGGAGCTCGATCTGAGCCTCCCAGGTGAATGTGGAGCCATCACCTGCTGTCTCTCAGGGTGCATATTCATGATCAGAAAGCTCAGGAGGCAGGGCTTGGACCAGGCACTCTGACACAGGAGGTCAGCATCCCAGGCTGCAGGGCTGTAAATGCTCATCTCTTGGACAAGTCTCAGAGGCCTGCACTCCTGAGGCTGGACGGGCATGGAGCCCTCTAAAGGGTCTTTAGGACCACAGAGCTTCTCCTGTGCAGCCTGCAGTACCTGGGGCTTTCCACGCTCAGCAGCCTACCACCTGTGTCTGACCACAGAGACAAGAGTGGGGGACGATGGCATGCAACCCCCACAAAGCCTGTGAAATGGCCAGAAAACCCGTCACAGCATCAGAAAGGTGAACTCCAGAGAAAAGAAGCTTCTCCAGGTCTCCCTCACCAGAGACCCTGGCTGTGGACCTCAACCCAAACCCAATTTGGAGGTCACTGTCACACCTACATAGGAAAGCTGGGGGAGTGGTCCCAGGCCTCTCCAGCTGCAGGGTCCTACTTCCTCATCAGTCCCAGATCCTGACATGCCCAGAGCCTGGCTCTCCTGGATCTGAGGAGCCCAGGAAACTTGGGACTCCAGATCACCTTAACACATGCAGGGTTTCGGCAGGAAGAATTACATGCTAATTAAATACTAATTAAACAGTGACTGCTAAGCACATGAAATGGCTGTTTTGGAAGTCCAACAAGATTGCACATCAGCAGCTTCATGTGATTCAGCTTAACTGTGAAAAGGTAGGCCTTTCTAACAGGTTCCAGGGCAAAGTTCAAGGAAGGTGACCTGGACTTCAGCCCCCCAGGACTCCTGCTTTTCCCTGGAGGACCACACTTGGCACTAAAGCTTGGAGATTTGGCTCTGGGAAAGAGTGACTGACAGGGAGGCAGGCTGAGGCAAGCAGGTGGACCTGCAGGGTTGCTGGGGCAATGGCCAGGAACAGCTGGTTCTGGTTCATTGGTGCCTGGAATGCCTCCAGTGACCCTTGACTATGGAGAGCAGCTGGAGAAGCCATAAAAATGAAGTGCCCACACAGCAGAGGTGGGGTAATGTAGCAAACAAACTCTAGCCTATTCCTCAAAAAGTGCCTGCCACAGAGGGAAATGAGCTTGCAAGGATGGCATCATTAGATAGCTGAGGGACCCAAGATGTTGATAGAAAATCTCTGTGTTTGCTAAGCCTCAAGCGCTGCAAGCTACACTAGGATGAGGACAGAGAATGGAATCTTAAACACACAAGGTCCCCTCACAGCCCTGCAAACAAGGCCAATGTCAAGGAAAGGTCGCCTAGCAGATAACATTTAACAGTTCATCCCATAAAACCACGCCAGGGGGCAGTGTAGGCCCAGACATAGAAACTTCAGCGCGATCCCTGGTTTTCTGCTGCTTCCTCCAGGCTGACATCACTGGACCTCGATGAGGCCGCTGGGAGGCGGTGTTGAGTGAATGACTGACCACAACTGCCGGGCAGGTGGAGGGACTGGGCAGATGGGAGCCTCACAGCGGGGTGGCCTCAGAATTAACCACCAGCAGCAGCCCCAGCTCTGCAAAGGGCCTTACCCTCAGTTCAAGTCAGGAGACACCAAGCACCTTCTATGTTCCTGGAGCTGTGCTGCGTGCAGGGGTTCCTGGGGAAGCAGAACACGATCCCTGCCCATCCATTACCTGTCTTAGCTACTGCACAGGAAAGTGCTGTTAGAATCATCCCCTTGGTTTCCAGCATTTTAAAATTTGTATTTGGAAGGCAGAGAGAGAGAAATCTGGCATGCACCAGTTCTCTCCCCAAAAGTCCTCAACAGCCAGGGCTTGTCCAGGCTAGAGCCAGAAGCCAGGAACTCCATTCAGGTCTCCCACATGGGAAGCTGTAGCCCAAGGACAGAGACCGTTTTCCACTGATTTCCCAAGGTGTATTAGCAGGGAACTAGGTTGGAAGTGAAGCAGCAGGGATGCCAACCAGCCCTCAGGTACGAGATGCCAGCATCACAGGTAGCACCTTCACCTGATGTACCACAATACCAGCCCCCTAGAGTCATCCCCCTATACTACAAATAAGGAAAATACACTTCTAGAGGAGGGTCTAGGCTCAATAAGTAGCTGGCAAAGCTGGAGCCCATTCCCAGTCTCTGTGGGCTCCAGGCGTGGACCCTGCAAAATGCCGCAGAGCCTTGCTCATATGAGCCCTGAGCCTCAGGAGAGCTGTGTCCTCTCAGTAACTGCCAGGCTACTTCCAAGTCCCATCCAAGGTGTCTGGACTGCCAAGCAGGGGCCTGGGAGGATGCCCTTCCCTGGGAGCCCAAAAGTCCCTTTGAACTTGAATTTCAGAGTCACAGAACTACAGGGTGAAGGTTTAAAAGTAGCCTGCCACACAGTCTGTGGAACACGCGCAGACACACACACACACACACACACACACGGTGGGGTGCCACCTGTGGATATGAGTGAATGGCCCATTCTCTACAGTGGGAAGGAAGCAGATTGCATCAGGTGGGGTGGCTGGGTATTTCTTGAATACCATCTCTGGCATCAGAGATTGGCAAGGTGAAAGTGGTAGGAACTCCTGAACCTTCCAGGCCCACCTCCCACCATCCTGTTCTAGGTGTAGGAGGCTGCCTCACAGGGGCTGCAAACCCCTCCAGCTCTCAGATGGGAAGCAGAGGGGAAAGGCATGTGAAGACAGGCACTTCCTCCAGGGTTTCTGTTGTCTTGCCTCTGTCCTTAAGGTCACAGCACCTGCAGGGAG